CTCTGCCACCTGCTAGCCCAGTGCCTTTGGACCAGTTTTTTAAACCACTCCGATTGGTCCCCAACTTTCTCATCTGTAGAAAATAACAGTTCCTACCTCCTAAGGTTGCTGGGAGGACACAGTAAACTACCAGATGTAACTGCTGAGCCCTCGGCCTTGCCCGTGGTGAGCGCTCAGCCGTGTTCTGAGAAGAGGAGCCCACGGGTGCCCGGGAAGGAACCAGGTCCCGAATCCCAGCGGGCTGGGTGCCAAGAAGGGAATGGGCTCCAGGGAGGACGAGGAGATTCACAGAGCCCGCTGGAGGCCAGGAATTGACATACATCATCCCAGCTAATTCTCCCAGCCACGCCATGAGGCAGTGTCTATCATCGCACACCCATTTTACAGATGAGGAGAGTGAGGTTCATAACGCCGTTCTTGGTCACACAGCCAGGAACAGGTGGAGGAGGTTCTGGGACTCAGGCTCTAGATGATGATCCCAGCCGTGTCTGCTGCCGACCACTGCCCCACCCTGCCCGCTGTGAGGAGGTGGGCGATCAGAGCGTGCCGATGGGGGCTCGCGAGGCCCAGAGAGAGTGTGGCTTCTCTGGAGCATCAGGGGCGGAAGCCACCTTGCTAAGGATTAACGAAGTCACAAGTGGGCGGAGAGGAAATGGCAGCGGGAAGTGTAGACCACACACTGGAGAAGTCTGGTCATGAATGAAAGGAGAAATAGGAGGGCCGCACGTGGGGTGTTGAGGTCACGGATAGGTCTTTCTGGGGTGGAGAGACAGGCTCATGCTGTCAGCCAGGGGAACGAGTCATGGGTGGGGAAGAGCAAAGAGCCAGGAGGTGGGGGTGGCCCCTCTGGGACAAAGAAGGGTTGAGATAGGAGCCACAGCTGCAGCAATTCTGGTTTGGCAGAAAATGCCCACAACCCACAAGAAAGTTATAAACTAGGTGGAAAACGAGTCGGCATGCCCTTGGTTAGATTTCTCTGCTTCATCCGTGACAGAAGGATTCGGGTGTGTCTCACGGACTGGTACGACGCTCTAGAGATTAAAAACAATTTTTCTAGGGTGAAGGAGCCACCGCATGTGAGCTGGGCCAACACTGTAATTCAGAAATTTGTAAGTGACCAACCATCTATCGAAGCATTTGTGCATGCATCCATTCATTGTCCACCAACCTATTCACCCATCCTTCCAACTATTTGTCCACACATCCATCCATCCTCCTGCCATCCATCTACCCACCCTCCATCTATCCATCCACCCACCCATCATCCACCATCCATCCATCCACCCACCCATCATCCACCATCCATCCATCCACCCACCCATCATCCACTCACCCATCATCCACCATCCACCCATCCACTCACCCATCATCCACCCACCCATCATCAACCATCCATCCATCCACCCACCCATCATCCACCCACCCATCATCCACCATCCATCCACTCACCCATCATCCACCCACCCATCATCCACCATCCATCATCCACCCACCCATCATCCACCATCCATCCATCCACCCACCCATCATCCACCCACCCATCATCCACCATCCATCCATCCACCCACCTACACATCCATTCATCCTCCCATCCATCCATCTCTATACCCATCCATCATCCCTCCACCATCCATCCATCCATCATGCATCATCCATCTACACATCCATCCCTCTATCCATCCATCCACACATCCACTCATTCACTCATTTACCCATTCGACATCCATTCACCCAACCAGCCAACAACTCTCCTCTTCATGCATTTGATAAACATATTTTATTGAGCACCTATTGAGTGCTAAGTCCTGGAGGGACAAGTTGGAACACAAAGAGATCCTTGTTTTTAAGGATCTCACGGTCTAGGAAGACAGCCACGATGGGGGAAGTCAATGACCTCTGGGGACACGGAGGAAGGTGGAGATTGGAGGAAGGAAGTGATGTTCAGGCTGCGCCCTGAAAGAGGGTAGGAGTGAAAGGGAGTGGGATGGGGCAGTGGTAGAGAGTGTTCTAGCCAAGGGGACAGGCTGTACAAGGGCTTGGGAGTCAGTGGGAGCACGCATTTTCAAGGAACTGAGAGAAGGTCCACACAGCTGGGACAAATTGGCGTGGTGGGGGGTGGGGCTGGAGGAAAAGTGGAAAGGAGAAGTGGACAGGAATCTGGCCTTCATCCCGAGGGGCAGCGGGAGGCATTGAAGGATTTTGAGCAGGGAGAGCCTTGCTCTGACTTGTGAGGTAGAAAGAGGAGTGGGGACAGAATGGGGTGAGGCTGGAAGCCGGGATGTGGGTGCTGAGCCATGGTCCACAGAGACATGGCGGGAGAAGGAGGGGGTTCAAGGCACAGCCAGGTAGCCGGCTCAGCAGGTCCTGTTGAGGGACCACATGTGGCCGGTGACAGACATTCTGGGGGCAGGGAAGACCCTCGGTTTTCTGATCTGAGGAACCAAATGGACTGACAACACATCTTGAATGCCATCAGTGAGCACACCACACCCTGGGGACAGGGGGCGTGGCCATATTTTGAGATCAGGTTGGGAATGCCATTTGGGACCCTCCTGTCTCAGCCGGGCTGGCCACGATCCCTAGTTCCCGCCCCCATGGGCAGGGCAGGTGGGATCCAGCTTCGGCTGTCACCGGACGGGGATGACAGGAGAAAGTGCTCAGTCCTCCTGAGATGCTCTGGGAGACCCTGGGCAAGTCACTGCCCATCCCGGAGCCTCGGCGGATGCTGGCGTGACCTGGGATGACACCTCTGCCCAGCTTTGCTCTCCTGGTGACAACTGTCAAGTGCAATTGAAGATGATGAAGAGCTCCCACCCCAGCAAGCAGGGGTGTGACTGACAGCGTCCCTGGTTCCATCCCATCCCTCAGGACAGGCTTCTCAGATGCCTGGGTAGAGCCTGCAGTTTGGGGTTTGGGGGCGGGGGCAGGGGGCAGGGGGTCCCTCTCTTTCAGGAAGAAGAACCCAGAATCTGGCTGGTTCAGCCACTTCTAGCCAAAGCAGGTGGGGGTGTTGATCCCCTCCAGCTGGTTTTACCCCAGCCCCCCCCCTTGGGGGCTGGGGAGGAGGGGCTGGGGGGAGGGGCAGGCGCTGGGGGGGAGGGGCAGGCGCACAAGCCGGGAGTCTGGTCACAGCCGGGCGTTAGTCAGAGGGGGTGAGATGGGCAGTCGCTTCCCCCCACGCAGATCCAATTCCCCTTTTGCGCTTTTTTGGGGTCTGGCCTGCTTCCCTGCCATGGCTCTGCCTGTCCTCCAGCCAGAGCACCCTCCCCCCTCATGCCGCCTCCTCCAGGGAGCATTCCCGATTGCCCTGAGGGACCTCCAGATCCTAGAGTCCTCGCAGCATCATAAAGCTCTCCCAAGGACCTTCTCGCAGGCCCAGAGTCCAGGACATTTTGTCTGGAAGGTCCCTTGCAATCCATTTCATAGCCTGGGAGAACCGAGGAGGAATCAATTCGGTTAATCCCTGGCAAGGAAACCACCTCGAAAATGTCCCTGTTCTCCACTGCCTCCCAAATAAGGCCGAGAGGCACGGCGGGCCCCGCTTGGTGGTCCCACCTGCCCTTTCTTCCGTCCTGTGCTTATGGGGTCAAGCGTCACCGAAGGTCCCCTGTGTGCCAGCACTCACACTTGGCATGTGCAGAGCAGACAGAGCCCAGGTCCCTCTCGCCGTCCTCACCCAGGTCCTCACCCAGGTCCTCACCCAGGTCCTCACCCAGGTCCCTCTTGCCGCCTTGCAGTCAGGCCACGTATTTATCTCTGCACGTTCCCCCTCCGCCCCGCCCCCGTGCCCAAGCAGTGCCCTCATGTGACATGCCCTCCCTCCCCCTTGGGTATAAATCCCATGTACAAGGCCTGGCCCTGGCTGCCTCCTCCAGGCAGCCTTCCAAGGTCTTCCCCGGGAGAGGCCAGGCCTTGCTCCCCCTACCCCATTGCGAACCCCCAAGGGCAGGGGCTGCGTCTGGCCTCTGCCTGCCCCATGGTGCCTGGCACAGCCCCTGGGGACACGGACAGGCCACTCAAGTTTGCTTCTCGGCTGGCCTTCCCAGCCAGCAGCCCTCCCAGCCCAGAACCCGCCGCCGCTACTGCTGTGGCCTGTTCCCTAGAAGCAACAGGGGAATTTCGGTCCTTCTGGAGAAAAGTTGAGTCTGTGGCAGAACAAAGGGGACTCAAAACCCTGAAGGAGTTTCCCCAGGGGTGGGGGCGGGGCCGCTCCACCATCAAGGGAGTTGCTAAACATATCACAGCAAAGCATTCGGTGGCCTCTGTGGCAGGTGGAAAAGTCACAAAGGGGCGAGCAGAAGCCACTGGCAGAGGTCACGGAGAGCATGGAGGGTGATGGGCAGAGACGAGCTCCCCCGACCCCTGCAGGGCCCAGGTCCTCCCAGGCACCTGGGGCCAGGCCCTATTTCTAGGGTGGAGCTTCCTCCGCAGAGACCCTCCCCACCCAGCCTGGCCTCCTCCGAAGGGGCCCCTGTTGGGTGTCCTCCCCTTCTTTGGGAAGCTCACACCGAGGATGGGCACAGGCAGCACGGCCGGCCCACTGCCCTGCTCTGCAAATGGAAGCTGGTCCCCCAGGGACAGCAGGGACAGCTGGGGGCAAAGAACCCCTCTGGGCTGTGGCTTGAGGCGGGGACAAGGTTAGGGGCTCTGGTGGCTGATGCAACCCCAAGAGAAGCAGGGAAATGCTGATGCAAGGCCCATTAAGGGGTGACCCCATCTTCCTGAGATCTGCTGTCTCAGCGGGGCTCCCTGGGCCAGCACGAACCTCCCTCTAAGGAGACCAGGTTGAGGCCAGAGAGGGCCTGCGAGCTCCCAGTGCACCTGCGCCATGTCGCAGATGGAGGCGGGGGCGCTGTCACTCTGAGCTGCCCCTGGTCCCACAGGGACAGGGTGACACCAGGCCTAGATCCTACGTGTCACAATCAAAGTCCAGGTGCCGCCCTGCTGCGGTGCTGCCCACCTGGAGGCAAGCATGGGTCGACCCGGCCCCAGGGGAGCCCTAAGGGGACGAGTGGCAATGTCCCCTGGTGGCCAGGGCACTGATGGGCATGCAGTGGCACTGTGGCCTACGGCTGGGCGGGAAGCCTCGCACGGGGCTCATGGAAAGTGTGCTCAGGGCCTGTCTCTGGCCAGACCCTGGCCAGGTGTCCTCTGCAGGCTTGGGGACACAGCGCTGCTGGCCGTGAGCAGCATCGTCTCTTGCTTACACATCCTTTCTGTCCTGCATGCTAGGGTGCGGTGCCCCGTTTGGGGGAATGTGGATGCCCAGTCTATTCATATTGGGATTGCATAGTAATTGAAGTCCCACTGGGCTCTGCATTCTGGGGTCAGCGTCCAGCCTGAGGAAGGACATGGAACCAAAGTCACCCCAGCCCGACCTTTCTGAGTCAGGTGAGGCGTGGACCACGTGTGGAGTGACACACGTGTGTGTGCGCACAGCACGGGCTGGCTCCTCCCTGATGGCCTTCCCAGCGCCGGAAGCTCACCCACCATCCAGGGAGGAGCCAGCTGGCCCCTGCTCGGCTGTCCAGCCCTGGTCTGTCCCCTGCAGGCACCAGGCATGAAGGAAGCTCACCAGCCTCAGAGCAGGTGCCGTTGGGAGATCCCCCCAGCCGACAGGGCCGAAAACAGGGCGTCGTGCACGAATGAGAAACGAGACAATGGAGGAGGAAGAGTGGGGTCAGGGGACTGAAGCCTTTCCAAACCCAGAGTCCCGAGAGTAACTCCTCATTCGTATTTATTCATTCTAAGAACAAAAGTTCATCCGAAATCATACAAGCAAACAGTGCTCTATAGATATCCCACAGGCAAACAAGTACTAAAGGTTTCCAAAAAAGATTACAATAACAGGTGCATGTCATTCAGGTAAGCTTTAAGGATCGCTGATAAAGATTAAGATGTCCAGGTGCTCATCAAAGCTACTGCTAGCCTAAAACAAAATACAACCTAAATCGTGGGGCTGCGGCCAGGCCAGTTTCGCAGCAGGTTGGATGTTCCTAGTTGCAGTCCTGGAGCAGTTTCCACCCCAGGAGAGAACCTGCTTGCAGCTCCTCCTGCCCTTGGAATGTCCTTGCCATTTGCAAAATAGCCACACCTAAGCAGACTGCCATGTCCGCAGAGGTTTCTATGCCAGCTATCTCCCTAGGTCACCCCAACACTTCCAAGCTACCCCAACCAGCAAGGGGTGAGCCCAGTTGAGGATGAAAGCTTTTCAATTCTGCCGATAGAGGAACCAAGAAATGTTCCCTTTAAAAGGAGAAGTACGTCATTGCCGTGGCCCCGACACAGGCACCCCCACCTCCGTCCTCATTCGAGCATCCATTCTTTGGAAATCCACAAACATTCCAAGACTTGGCTTCTACTGAATCATCTCGAATTCTTCGAATTGCACTGGCCTACGGAAGGATGCGAGGGAGGTGACAGGGGCGGGCCAAGACCCCTAAAGAGGATAAAAAGGTCACCTCCACACTGGGCTCTCGGCCTGGCATCCCCTGGGCAGAGACAACCTCTGGAGGCCTCCGGCACCATGGCCCCCCTGAAGACACTGCTCCTGGCCGCCCTCCTCCTGGGGGCTTCCCTGCAGCAGAGCCACGCAGGTGAGCGCAGGGGACAGGCGCCGGGCACCGGGAGAGCGCGGGAACCACGCAGTGACACACGCGTGTTTGTGTGTTATTTACGCCCCACCGACTCCCACAAAGGATGTGAGGGGCCGGCAGGAGCGGGTTTTGAGGGAAGCAATGAAAAGAAAAGGATGAGGATGATGATGTTGCCGCCCCAGCACTTGGGGACGAGCTTAGTGGGGACGGCGTGCAGCGCATCTCGGACGGAGTTGGTGGTGATGGCTGCAGTTGTGGTTTTATGGCGGAGAATGGACAGTTCTGGACACCGTGTGTCAGCTTCTGTTTTATTAAGGGTTTTTATGTATAATGAGGGACTCACTGGTTCCAGGAGCACGTGGAAAAAGAGGTTATTGCATATGAGGCTGGGAGAGGAAAGCTGCAATACGGTTGCTAGACACGGACACGCGCAGGCGCACACGGGGCTCTCCCACAGGCGCGGGCAGACGTGCACTGGCGGGCGCACACGGACACAGAACTCCCAGCACACACAGAGACTTCACACACACACACATGTGCACGTTAACACACATGCACAATGAAACATGCAGGCCCCAAGACCCACCCACAGCGCACACAGATGGGGACAGTGACATGCACACGCAGTCACCACACACAGATACACACACACACACACAGACGCTGCACACACATGCAGACACTCAGGGACAATCCCCTCCCCCGCCTTCTCTCTGCAGCCCGAGGGACCAACGTGGGCCGGGAGTGCTGCCTGGAGTACTTCCGGGGCGCCATTCCCATCAAGAAGCTGGTGGATTGGTACAGGACCTCAGCGGAGTGCACCCGGGAGGCCGTCGTGTGAGTCCCACGCCTCTGGGGTGGAGCACGGGACCAGGACGGTCGCAGGGGGCGGGGGGGAGCAGCCGGCCCTCCCCGTGACCCCCGCCGGCTCCTGGGCAGGCTCTGCGCCCTACACTCTGGGCCCCGAAGGGCCGAGGGCTGTGAGGTCCAACGTCTTCATTGGCTTGTGGTGGAACCCAGGCCTGGAGAGGGCTGAGGACCCCAGGTCCCACGGCCGGTCATCGGGGAGGTGATCGCGTCCTCCGGCCTGGGCCGAGACCCCCGAGGGCCAGGCCCTTCCCGCAGCCTCTGCGTCCTCGCTCTGGGGGGCCGGGGGGCCAGGCAGTCTGAGGGGTGGGCACAGTGCTGCAGCCCTGGCTCGCTGGGAGGGGCAAGATCTCGGAGGTCAGGGGCTGCTGTCCCAGATCTGCCACCACGCCCCGTGTGACTTGAGGCAAGTCCCCTTGCCTCTCGGGCCCTGGTCAGTGCAGGCGGGGCGGGTCCTCTGGAAGCCCGTCCTGTCCTGACAGTGTTGATGGCTCCTCCGCGGTGCAGGCTGGTGACCGTCCAGGGCAGGTCCATCTGTTCAGACCCCAGCAACGAGAGGGTGAGGAAGGCAGTCACACACCTGCAGAAGCTCAGGAGGTTGCGCAGCTCCGTCATCCAGGAGTCCTGACTTTCTCCCGGACCATGTGGAGACTTCCGGCGCCGGTTCCAGGGCGGAGAGGAGCCCCGAGAGAAGACCCGTCCCCTTTCCGAACTGGAGCCACGGCCACGAGACGGCCCAGATTAAAGTCTTTCTGCCCAGTCTGGTCAGCGTGCTCTGTCCTCCGGGTGCAGGACGCACTTCCGCTCCGGCCTGTCACTCTAGAAGGGCCCTCAGAGGATGTCTGTCCTGCCGAGTCTAGTTCAGAAAGGGACACTGGGGCTCAGAGAGGCACATGGCTGCCACAGACCACGCCACAGTGGGGGGAGCCCCTTGCAGGGAGGCCTGGGCAGGGGCGGGGCTGGCGGGGTCCTGGCATGAGCAGGGCAGGGCAGACCAGAGGCTCAGCAGGGCCACCCCTCGAGCTAGCCCCGTCCTCCCTTCCACCCGCTGGCTGGAGTCCTGGGGAGGGCCGGCCGTATCCCCCCCACTTCTCTGCTCCTGAGGTCTCCCAGTTTCCCCCAAGACCGGTCTCTACTCTTGCCCGGTGTGGAGCTGAACACATGCTTCCCCTTGCACGCTGGATTCAATTCCACAAACGTTTCCAGGACCCCTGAGCAGGCCGGAGCTCCCTGGAGGGGTCCTGCAGGCCTCCGGCCATCTCCCTGGCACTCACTGCGGTCCCCTGGCTCCCTCTCCCAGCTCGAACTAGGAGGGCTCCCAGGGCTGAGCTGTGTCTCCTCCCATCCTCCGCCCCCACCTCTCCAGCCCCAGGCAGGTGGGCCCAGCTGTGCCCCCCTTCCTTCTCATCAGAAGCATTCGTCCCACCCCTCCCAGCTCTGACATCCCACCCAGCCTTAGGCCAAGCTAAGAACTGGCCCTGCAGGAACTGGCCCTGAGCACAGCTGGCCCCCCACTCCAGTCCATTGGCTTTCAACTTTCTCCACCCCTCGGGTCTCCCCCAGCTCTTAGGGACTGGGGTGCAGCCCACCCCTGCACCAGGTGGTTCTTCCATGGATTCCTGTGTGTGTCTGTGAGTCCCAATGCCTCCCTTATGCTGGGAGCTCCCAGCCCATGCCCCCGGGGGGATGGGGATCGGAGGCTCTGGGCCATCCCCCACCCCAGCCCCGGCCCAGGGCTGGAGCCACAGTGTGCAGCAGGGACAGTCAGTGTCTTCATCGCTAGTTCTGTCTCACTCCCCCTGCCAGCACTGGGTTCCCTGCTTCTCTGGGATGCAGTCTGGGGTCCTTTTACTCTGAGTTTTCTGTGTCCAACATTGTTTGGGGGCTTCAGCTAGGGGGTAACTTCCAGGAGAGGGGTTTGCTTCCTTCTGCCCCCGTGTGGCCAGCCATCAGGGCAGGGCGGATGGCAGTGCCCAAGTCCCCTTTCCAGCAGGGGCGGGTAAAATGAGAACAGTAACAGTGAGGGGGCTGGTATGGCGATGCACTGGCTCCTGGGTCCCCTCTGCCACAGTGAGCTCTTCTGTCCCGATGCTGAGGAGTGTCCCTTGAACAAGTGCTCCGACCCAGAGTCCTGGGTTCTTTATGGAAAAATGTCCTCTGGCTCAGCAGGGTGGTGGAAGGATGGTCTAAGAAGTGGGGAGGCAAGGGGGAGCCCCTAAGACAGCAAAGGCCCCCCAGGGCTGGGGCCTGGACCCTGCACCCTGCCGGCCAGAGCTGGAAGGACTCTCAGAGTATGCATGGCAAACCTTGATTTTTAAAAAGCAAGGCCTTTTTTTTTTTGCTAGTGCAACCTTACTCAGAAGCCCATATCATAAACTCAGATGGGTAGAGCTGCCATGGAGGCCTGTGGGAGGTGGGGAGTTGCCAGGGGGGTCCTAAAAAGTGAGGGAGGGCAGGGGGCTTGCTCGAAGGCATGGGACAGGGGGCTCCAGGACTGACAACCAAATGCAGGATTCAGAGTGAGTGTTCAATAGCAGCAGCAGGGTGCAAGGTGGGTGGGGTCAGATGCAAGAGCTGGGACAGGATGGCTACCAAGGCCCTTGGGCATTTTAAGGAACTGGTGAGCAGGGAGGGAAGGAGAGACGCAGTGAACAGTGAGGAGCAGGGGTGCAGGTCTGACATTGCTCCTGCCCTACTTGGAAGGTCCTTCCCCTCCTCCGCTTCTGAACTCCCGTTTGCCTTCAGAGCCCAGCTCAAATGCCACCACCAGGAGGTCCTCCCTGGTCTCCTTGGTTGCATCTGACCCCCCACCCAGGGTCCCTGCCAGCTCCCAGCTCTCCTCTCCGTCTAATCTCGCCCCACTCTTCCCCCTGTCATTGTAGCTGCCTGGCACTTGATTCGCCCAATACACTCACTGGGCAGGTACTTGGGCAGGGCAACTCAGTACCTGTCTTGTTTATAAGGGGGAGGAGAAAGAGCTTTGTGCATAGTGGACATTTGACTTACCCATTTCACCAGCGGCGCCTGGGTGGAGTCCACAGGGGGCACCGGCGGGGAAAGAACTTTCCAGAGGAGGCTTAGCGTTAGTAACAATCACTGGGCTTGAAGCGCATCTTAAAGGGCGGACGTTAAAACTGGGTTGTTCTCCGATCTCCCGCCAGAGGGCGCGCCGGCCCCCACACCGGAGTCCGAGGCTGATCCGGGAGAGGCGGGCGGCCCAGCCAGACTGTCCCCCGCGCTGTCCCCAGCGGCCGGGCTGGGCCACATCCGCTTGTAGCTGCTCCAGGCCTTGGGGGAGGGGAGTCTGTAGCTGGCCCGCACCAGGCACACTTCTGGATGAAGGGGGAGACGGAAAAAACGCCGCTGAGACTTGCGGGCCCCTAACTCCAGAAGCAACCCAGGCAGCGGCCAGGGGTGTTGCAAGGTTTTATTGAGGCTGCATTTGGCATCCATTAATCACAGGGCCCAATTCACGGCCACAGTGGTTTGCGCCTCCCCTGCCGTCCAGATTTCGCAGGTGATGGAAATCCTAATTACAAACCCTGGAACCAACCTGCATAGGGACCCGCAGCCATCTCCTGTCCTCTCTCCCACGCCAACCCAGTATTTCCCCTGCCCCAGATCACCCAGCGCCAGGTACGGACATTCCAACTGGCCAGTCCTAAGCCGTTTCCCCGCCCTGCCTTGCCCTTCCTGTGGAAACCCCATGAAGGCTGTGGCCTGTGCCACTCCCCGCGCTGACCCAAGCCAGGCTTCCCCTGGGCGCTGCCCGCCGCGGCATGCCCTCCTCTCTGGGGACATGCAAGCAATGCGTTCGCCTTTCAGTGGCCTTGGCAGCTCTGTGGTCACTCAGCCACCTCCATAAATTCCAATTCTGCGGGGACATTAAAACAATTTATAGGCAGGGCGCGGTGGCTCACGCCTGTAATCCTAGCACTCTGGGAGGCCGAGGCGGGCGGATTGCTCGAGAGGTCACGAGTTCGAGACCAGCCTGAGCAAGGGGAAGACCCTGTCTATAAATGGGAAGAAATTAATTGGCCAACTGAAAATATATAGAAAAAATTAGCCAGGCATGGTGGCGCATGCCTGTAGTCCCAGCTACTCGGGAGGCTGAGGCAGCAGGATTGCTTGGGCCCAGGAGATTGAGGTTGCTGTGAGCTAGGCTGACACCACGGCACTCACTCTAGCCTGGGCAACAAAGTGAGACTCTATCTCAAAATAAGTAAATAAACAAAAAACAATTTATTGATACATAATTGTACATATGTATTGAATATATGTGACATGTTGACACACGCCTACAATGTGTAATGATCAAATCAGAGTAATTAGCATATCCATCACTTGGAATTTGTGTTGGGAACATTTTAAAACTTCTAGCTATTTTGAAATATACAATGAATCGTTGTTAACCATAGTCACTCTGCTGTGCCACCAAAAAATGAGAACTTATTCCTTCCATCTAACTGTATGTACCCATTAACCAAGCTCTCTTCATCCCCCTCCCCCCCCAAATAGAACTACCATATGATCCAGCGATCCCACTACTGGGGATTTGTCCAAAGGAAAGGAAGTCAGTTTATCAGAGGGATACCCCACCCCGTGTTTACTGCAGGACACCCACAACAGCCAACCCCCGATCCGGCTAACTCTTCTTTGATACTTCCTTTTCAGCTTGGCTCAACTTATTTATTTCATATTTTTGGTGAGACGCGAGCTTCTCGCTCCAGCTGGTTTCGAACTCCGACCTTGAGCAACTCCTGCCCGCCTCGCCTCCAAAGTGCTAGGATTACAGGCTGTCGCGCCACACACGCCGGCGTCACAGGTCCTTTCTTACGCAGGAGCTCCAGGGACCCTGTTTCCCCAGTTTCGCTTTGCCACTGACTGGCCGTGGGGCCTTGAACCTGCGCCTCTCCTTCCTGGGCCTGTTTCGTCATGAAGCAGTGACACTGGACCTTCTCTGACCTGTTTGAGGATGTACCCAATAGAAATGCCTCTAGGTGGCCGGGCGCTCGTGCCACGCCTGGTAATCTACCTTGGAGGCTGAGCAGGCGGATTGCTCAAGGTCAGCGAGTTCAAAACCAGCTGAGCAGAGCGAGACGTCCGTCTCTACTATACAACTAGAAACGAATCAATTGCGACACTGATATATAACACATACAACACCACACAACACACACCACACCACACACACTCCACATACAACGAGACAGACATAGAGAGGCAGACACTCAGATAAACTCACACAGCTACAGGGAGGCTGAGGCAGGAGGATTGCTCGGCAGAGTTTGAGGTTGCTGTGAGCTAGCGCTCGCAAGCCACGGCACTCACTCTAGCCTGGGCACAGCGCATCCTCTCCAACCACAACAACACAAACACAACACAACACGAACCTGCTTACCCGCCCGCCACAGTCTTAGAAACCTGCAATTTTCTCATCCAATTGACGCATGCCTGCCCCGGTACTCTCCCGCTCTCTCCTCCAAAGCCAACATGCCAACCACAGAAACAGAAATTCCAGACACAGCACAAGGGACCAGGGCTTGTTAACACAGTGCTCAAAGGACTTGTTCAAGTCTGCACATATATCGTCTCCCAGCAGCGCATACTTCCAGAGGCGACGAGACTGGACACACGCCAATGCTCCACCAACCAGATGAATCGGACTACGCAGAAGCGCACTGTCCCACTGCAATCACGACTTGTTATTCTGGCATCACACACAGAATAACCTCGCTGTCACGCTTGCCTACCCAGCCATGCGCGCTTCCCCACCCCTCTGAACAACCTTATCCTCCCAACAACTGCGACAGCCAC